TATTTCACCACAGCCCTTTTAAAAGGACTGCGGATCATCAGACTTTACTTCCAAAAGTTGAAAAAAAAATAAAAGTCTGATGATCCGCAGTCCTTTTAAAAGGGCTGTGCTGAAATAATTTATTACATGGAACCTTAAAGTGGTCTGTTTTTATTTAAATTATTTGCTCTGGATTTACATTGAGCTCTCTGGATTTTATCCTCCTTAGGTTTACCCATACGGATTATATAGATAGATAGATAGATAGATAGATAGATAGATAGATAGATGTTGGTATGTATGAAACATTATCATCATAACTGTCTTAATATTATCATCTTTATGAACGAGTCTTTTTAACATAGGACTCTGGTGTTGATTTTTAAAGACAAAGTGGCAGCAAGTCTACTCGGATCTCCTGTCCTAGTCTGAAACAAAAAACAAAAGCTTTGGAGGGCAAGATTTCAGTGTTCCTGTAAATATGAGGATCACAATCACTTTTACCATAATTATCGTTGTTGTTGGTATTATTAAATAAAATAAAATAAGAAGAAACTATATAGCAGTGGCGGTGATGGTGGCATTGGCGGGGTGGGGGGTCGGTAAATAGTTTCCTTGTGACTGAGGATAAAACTTTGGAGACATTTCGAATGAGATAAGATATATTCTTGTATTATTTCGAGCTTTTGTTTCCATCTTGGTTATTATAGACACAACGTTTCGACCAAGTACCTTCTGGTTATTATCAGGTGCCCATTGATTGGCTGATAAAGGGTATCTATTGATTATTTTGACTAACTGATATCACAGAGACAAAATATCAAAATAATCAAGATATCTCTTATAAGCCAATCAATGGACACCTGATAATGACCAAAGTGTACTTAGTCGAAACGTTGTGTCTCTAATAAGATCTATATCAAACAAAATGGTGACTAGTTCGAAATAATGAACGAAGATTGACAATTAATCATCTCTGAAATGAAATACTAAATTAAGACTTGTGTCAGAAAATTATTATCACCAAAAAATTCTTACAATCTTAAAATATATTTCTGCTTTAAATAACCTTAAAAAGGTTGATAAGCAGTAAAACAATTCAGTTTTTTTCGAACAAATTTCCAATCATACTAGAAAGACTAGACAGTGAATGGATCGAAATGAAGAGTTTTAAAAAAAGACAAAATCATGAAAAAAATTTTTTTTATTTTACTTACAAAATAAAAATAAATATTTTTTCCTCCATTCATATTAAATAAATACTCACTTTTATATCAGTCCTATCTTACTACAGATTTGCACAAGGCCGGATCTATGCAAATTAAATTAATTGCTTTCAGTTGGATTCTGAGCTTAATAGGTTACCGAGCTGCTGAATACACACAGCAAAACACTACAAGATACACTTAACATCACATTACAAGTGAACAGTAATAATTTTAATTTCCCACTGAATTCTTAAAATGTCATTAATGTAGATTTTTGCATTTTCTATTCGGTCTATTTGTTTGTTTGTGTTTTACAATGATATTCACTCTGTACAAGGCCTAAGAGCCGCTCGAGGTAGAGAGTTAGAGAGAAAGAGGCATAGTTTATGTAGTTAAGTGGGGAAGATAATGGTTAACCTTAGACTTGAACAGGTTAAGATTGTAGTGATAGAGGAAGTATCTTCTTGAGAGTCGGTTCCACAGAACAGTGGTTTGTTGGAAGATGCTGCTTGAGTGGAACTTAGGTCTCACCAATGGAATACGAAGGGTTATTATGGAACAGCAAACCTAGAGCCCCACAAAAAATACTTCCAATTAGCTTTCAGTACTTTTTAAGACCGGCCCTTAATACACAGAGAGAGAGAGAGAGAGAGAGATAGAGAGAGATTGATCTAACCTGTAATATGTATGTATATAGAATATACAAACAAGCATTTGCTGCTAAACATGCAGATAGATAGATAGATAGATAGACTTGAACAGGCTGTGATAGATAGATAGATAGATAGATAGATTTGAACAGACTATGATAGATAGATAGATAGATAGATAGATAGATAGATAGATAGATAGATAGATAGATTTGAACAGACCGTGATAGATAGATAGATAGATAGATAGATAGATAGATAGATAGATAGATAGATAAGTAAATGTAGCTGTGGCATATGGCCACATTGAGTTTCTCTCTTTCAAGGCGACTCTGTTTTGATCCGAATCCAAATTTCAAATCCTTTTAACTTGGCTGGAAGAAAATACACAACACCTTTAACCACTAAGCAAGTCACATCGAGCAATGCATCCAATGCTACGCAAACTTTCAAGTTATAGGGATGCACACGGAATTGTTCTTGCATAAATATGTCGTAATTGAGACGAATGTCTGCTTATCGCTGTGTAAATCAAAATATTCAACAACGTTTATAATTTATATCGGCTGTAAGATGGAAAGACGAAGCCGTGTGTGTAATTAGTTAGTGTGAAACAACAAAATAAACACCACCCATTCTACCCGATAAGCCAAATCGGTGCACATGCCGCCCGTCCCCAGCACCGATAATCGTCCTGCTGCTGCTGCTGTTGTGGTTGCCTCCGCCTCCTTCGAGTTAAGGTGGGTGAATCGGGGGGGAGGAAGCGACCATTGATTGTCGACGATTCGCTGACCAACCAGTAGAAAGCGGCAAAGCGAGCAGTCGTAAGTGTAGAAACGGAAAGCAATCAGATGTAATTTTCTTCTACTGCGGCCAAACGGACACACACACACCAATTGTCTCTCTTCGTCGACTTGCTCGTTAGCTCCAGCCATTAAAACCTGGTTGGCTCGATCTGGCTTTCCCTTCATAGGATTTCTGAAATCGAACCATTTTATATGCAAGCAATTCGAAACATCAGCGCCAAAAAAAAAAAAAAAAAAAAAATAATCGGATTTTATCAAAAATTACCCTTTTAAAATTTAAAATGAATATATTTTTAAATTCTTCCTTGTTTTGCATTTAATTTCAGCTCACTATACGAGTAATTCTATTTGTCAAATTAACAAAAAAAAAAAAAAAAAAAAAAAAAGAAAAAAAGAAGGAAAAAATTACCGAGCTCCTATGGTGAATTAATTCAAATTTAAAGGTTTATACTAATTTGAATCAAAGAAAGCAACTTCTCGGATATTCCTTGTCAGTCATTATACAAAATGGATATTGAGATAATAATATAAACCATTTTTGGAAGCACAAAATTTGTGGTATTGACGACGAAGTTTTGTTTTATTCTGTAAACATTTGTTTTTCACTTTTTATTTCACCTTAAAGAATTCTTTCAACGAATTTGAAAGAATTTGTTTAATTTGGAATTGTAACGTCCAAAGCAGACGTACTGAGACCCCTCTGCACCCAGAATCTACCCGTTACTCTCGGCATTAATTTGGAAGTGTTGTTTTTTTTTTGTTTTTTGTTTTTTTTTATACATGTTTCAAAAGCATTTTACATAGCTTTGCTATTATAAATAAAAAATATTTTATTTCTGCTTTCTCAGAAAAAGAGATAATTCCTCTTTGAAATTAATCAACCGTAAAAAAATTCGAAAGCAACAGCAACAACGAAAACAAATAACATCGAATGAATTAAAAAAAACAAAACAAAACAAAAAAAATCAAAAAAGATCGAGGGCGATAAGAAAAAAAAAATGGAGAAAAACTTTCCATAGTTAATTTCTACGGGGATTGCCCAAAGCTGACCCTAAAGGCAAATAATAAATGCCTGGAGAACGAAAACTAGCACATATAAAAATTGCATCGAAACAAACAAAAAATATATTTTCACCCACTCGCAAAATTCAGGAAATAAAACTTGCAACAGACAAAAATACCGACACACACAAATCCAGCTAACCGGCAATACACACCCAACCCTAGACACCAATATTAAAACATACAACACTATTATTTTCGTTACAAATTTATGTTTTTGTATAAAACAACCCCCACCCCCTAAAAATGATGTTGATGTATAAATTGTCAATCTAATAGATTTTGTGACGGTGAAATTTGTTATAGCATCCAAAAGAGTAGCCGATTGGAAACCTAGCAAAGCTTGTTAAAAGACGACAATGGATACAACGAAATCATTTAGCATTGATGCTCTTCTTGCAAAAGAACCTCAGACAAAATCCCAATGTCCAGCGATTTTGAAAAGTGCCGGCAACACAAATACGACGACCACCAGCGTCAACAACAATCATCATCATCACCACCACAGTAGTATCATCATCACCAACAATGTCAACAACGGCAATCATAACAGCCACAATAGCCCTGGTCATCAGTCACACAATAATATCAACCATCATAATATCAGTAATGTAGGAGGTAACTTATCTGGGGGTAACTCGCCTCGACCTTCGTCTTCGGGTTCGAGTGGCAGTCGCCTCTCGCCAGCTGTCAGTCCCGACACAAGCGTTTCACCCCCAATGACATCTACCATGAGTTTTGTGCCGAAACCAGGTTTGTTGAATCTACAGCATGCAGCAGCCGGTGTCTTCCAGACCCACCTGCCCTTGTCCGGACTTTTCCACGGTGGACAGCAACTGTTCGCCGCCTACAATGGACATGCAGGGTCCGGAGGACATTCCGGTCTGCCTTTTTTGCCTGGAAGCGCGTTCCACACTCCGACCGAACAGGCGTTCAAACTCGCTCAAATGCAAGGCGTCTCCTACGATTGGCTCGCTAGAAACGGAATGTTTATGCCACGAATGGTTGACTATTCAGGTAAGTGACCAGCATTGCCGAACTAAAAGTGTCGTAAGAATATTACACAGGCTGAAGCCTAAATTGAAATTGAAAACTTGAATTAATATGTATTTCCGAGGGCATGTACATACGTAAATCGATATTAGATACAGCGTTTTATCTATCTATCTATCTATCTATCTATCTATCTATCTATCTATTCATCTATCTATCTATCTATCTATGTAGTTAGTTAGTTAGATAGCTAGATAGACAGATAGCTCCAATCTGATCTCACCCTCGCTCTCCTCTCTCTCATTATCTATCTATCTATCTATCTATCTATCTATCTATCTATCTATCTATCTATCTATCTATCTATGTATGTAGCTAGATAGATAGCTCGATAGATAGCTCAATCTGATCTCACCCTCTCTCTCCTCTCTCTCATTATCTATCTATCTATCTATCTATCTATCTATCTATCTATCTATCTATCTATCTATCTATGTCCAATTTAATATATTAATGAGTCTCATCTAATTACCAATTTTGAAAGGAAAAAATAAAAGTGATTTTTCAAAACAGATGCAAATAAACATTTCCATTTCCTTCCGCTTGCCTGCATATGAAATTGTCGAAGCAATAAAGCTTCGTCTCTAAGTGAATGATGGGAAAAATAAATCCCATCATCGATAAATGGTCAAATTAAAAAAAAAAAATGACACAATCCGAATATTTCAAGTATGTCATAAATGACATACCAATCAATTAATTAATTAATTCTAATCAATGAACAATCACACATGACAATGTATCTTTCTTTTCAGCCATATTTCTGTCTATACAACGCCTGTTGTTTTATTTCAGCCATAATTCCGCCTGGAAACGAAATTGTCACGGTAAAAAAGAACGGAGGTGAAATAACCAATTATAGTATTATCTTTACTTTTTCTTAGATGATGGATTATTATTATTATTATTATTATTATTATTATTATTATTATTAATAATAATGCTATTAATAATAATAATAATAATAATAATCTATTACTATTTTATTATTATTATTATTATTATTAAACAAAATGATTGACGTAACTCTTGCAATATTTTTAAACACTTAATAGAAGCGCGCGATTTAAGGAAAGAAAAAGAAAAGAAAAAAAAACGCAGTGTTTGACAATGTTAAACAATATTTCAACAAAATATCTGTCTTCTTCAAGTTATAACTGAAGAAAACAACCCTTTTAATTTCACTTGACATTAAAAGCAGAGGAATAAATAAGTCTATAAAAATAGGGGTCTAAATCAGTCGTTAAAAGTAGGGGGCTAAATTAGTCGTTAAAATTAGGGGGCTAAGTCAGATGTTAAGTTTGAAAGATTTCTGATTCAGCGTTTCTTTAACTAACCCTCTCATAAAATGAATATTATTCGATCTATTATTTCATTGTAAATATATTTTTTAAATTTAAATCCACATTTATTTTGTTGCTTCTTTGTACTTATTCTCTGAATAGAGTTTTTTTTTTTTTTGCATATAAGATTTATATAAAAGTTTCAGAAGATAACGTTTCGAGAAAAATAAAAAAAAAAAATAAAAAGATGAAGGTTTTATTATTAATTTTGAAAATTGATGATTGTAAAGATTTGAGACAAATGACAGCTCAGCTCAAAAAATTGTCCTCAATAGATTGAGGACAATTCTCAGTTTCATCAAGAAGTGAGGAAACTGAAGCTTCCGCCACCAGACTCCTCTAAAGCGCCGTGGATGTTGTCATGTTTATTTCTTATCGGTATTGTCTATTCACCACTGTAGATAGAGAAAAACCGCTAAAAAAATTAAGATGGAAGTAGTGGAAATTATTATTATTGAACAAAATGATTGACATAACTTTCCCAGTATTTTAACCTTTCGACAAGAGCGTGATTTTATAAAAATAAAAATAAAATATACTTTTTAACAATGTTTAACAGTGTTTCGACAGTATATCTGTCTTCATCAAGTTATGTTAAAAAATTTAATTTTTTTAAAGTTTTTAAACATAACTTCAAGACAAACATACTGTCGAAACATTGTTAAAAACTGCGTTTTTTCTTCTCCTTTTCTTATATCGCGGTCTTCTCAAAGTGTATTATTATTATTATTATTATTATTATTATTATTATTTTCTTTGATTTCTGGCGTTTACTCATTTCTGGGTCCCGCCCAGGGACCTAAGGTTATAAATGGCATCATGACACTTTCCACTGACAAAAAAAAAAAAACAAATTACATAGATAAAGCCCTTCCTAATGTGTGGGCTGTACCTGTGAGAACAATTTTTTGTATCTCTTTGAGGCATGGGCTTCCAGGAATCCCTTCAGTTAGTCTACTGCAATATTTTCCAACCAATCGTAGGGCTCCAACTACAACAGAGTTTGTTGATGTTCCCATATGCCACATTTTTGTGATTTTTATTATTATTATTATTTTTATTATATTTTTTTTTATTAATGGCCGCATGTACGATGTACGATACAATAATATCACATCAACAGAATTTCCGAAACATATTACAAACGATTGTATATATATATATATATATATATATATATATATAATTATTATTATTGAACAAAATGAGTGACGTTACTCTTCTAATATTTTTCAACACTTAAGAGAAGAGCGCGGTTCTCTTAAATGTATTATTATTATTATTATTATTAATAATAATAATAATCTTATGAAGTCGAAATCTCAAGAAATGTGGTTCATGAGGTCATCAATAATTCCAGTTGTCGTTGGAGCCCTCGGACTGATTGGAAAAGGTTCCGATAGACTCACTGAAGGGATTCCTGGTAGCCGATGCCTTAAAGAAATACAACAAATTGTCCCCACAAATACAACTAACACATTACGAAGAGCTTTATCTATGTAAAATGTGTGTAATCTTACAAAAATGATCAGTGAAAAATGTCATGAAGCCATTTCTGATCTTAGGTCTCTGGTTGGGACCCGGAAGGAAATGTGTACACAACAGATACCAAAGGAAATGATACTAATAATTCCAGTTGTAGTTGGAGCCCTCCGCTTGAATGAAAAAAGGTTCCGATAGAATCATTCATGGGATTCCTGCTAACCGATGCCTTACATAAATATAAAAAAATTGTATTCACAAATACAGCTCACACATTACGAAGATCTTTATCTACGTAAAATGCGTGTGAACTTAGGTTGTTTTTTTTTCTTACAAAAATGATCAGTTGAAAATGTCATGAGGCCATTTCTGACCCTAGGTCTCTGGTTGGGGCCCGGAATGAAATGTGTATATACAATAGAAATCAAAGGAAATAATAATAATAATAATAATAATAATAATAATAATAATAATTGTCAAAATACAAGGACCTTGAAATAGAAATCTCGAAAATGTGGCATATGGGAACATCAACAATCCCTGTTGTAGTTGGAGCCCCAGGACTGGTTGGAAAAGATTGCAGTATACTAATTGAAGGGATTCCTGGAAGTCCATGCCTCAAGGAGATACAAAAAAATTGTTCTGACAAGTACAGCCCACACTTTACGAAGGGCTTTATCTATGTAATTTTTTTTTTTTTTTTTGTCAGTGGAAAGTGTCATGATGCCATTTTCTAACCTTAGGTCCCTAAGGGACCCGGAAAGAAAAATGTAAACGCCAGAAATCAAAGGAAATAAAAATAATAATAATAATAATGTGGTTGCGATGCATCAGACTGGGTGCCATGATGGGTATATTAGGATTCGTATATTTGTACCCCAGGGTCAGTCAATTGGGGTACTGCTCTTTCGATCAATAATAATAATAATAATAATAATAGTAATAAGGAAATCGATGAAATATCATTGCTAGAGAATTCCGTTTTGATACGCATACATTAGAAATGTATATTATTATTATTGCTTCTCTATTTTTGTTTAGCAAATTTGTTTCTTTCTAATTTGTTTCCAAATGATTACCCCATTTTCTTTTATCCAAGAAACGAACCTTTAAAATCAAACTTTGCCGCCGTTGGAGAATCGACTTGATCTCATCAGAATGATTTATATTTTGTTATTAAACTAATTTTTACTGACATCAGGAATTAACGTTTTGCAAATTATGAAGGTTTTCAGGTTCAAATCTTGTCATTTAGGTCAGCGGCAAACGTTTAATTTCCTATCTGTCATCAATATTGTTCTACCCGACAGTACAGGAGACGTAGGGTAAGCGCTCTCTGCATTTAAATTTTGCAAAACACCTCCGCATCTTGCTATAGCCGTAAACATCAGGAAACATTTGAAAGATAGATGTTCTGTCCTCGCAAATTAAAAATTTCAGTTTTGTTTTTTATCTATAAATAATTTTATAAACTTTTTTTTTTTTTTTGCTTTTGGGTGAAACATGTTAATCAGATATAAATATAAAAAATTGTACACACACACATACACACACACACATATATACATATATATATGTATATATACATATATATAAAATTTTACAGACACACACACATATATATATATATATTACATTATATTTATATTCATTAAATTCCGACAATTATTTGATTTTTGCAATAATTTCCATATTGGTATGTTTTCAACTGAAAAAATTGCGCTAAAAAACCTAATGCTCAATATTAGGTGACCTCTGACCTAAAAAAAAAAAAACAAGATTTTCAACGAAAATTTTAATCGTGCTAAAAAAAAATTAAAAATTAAAAAAATAATTAAAAAATACTTTGGTCTCTCCTCTACTTAATAACATAAACTTTTCGCGATAAGATTTTGTTTTTATTAAGTTTGGGGATTTTTCATCAGGATATGCCACTTTTTTTAGCGAAAAAGTGGACATATATATATATATATATATATATATATATATATATATATATATATTGTGTATTTAGGTAGCAATCCTTCTTTCATGCAAGCTACATTAAATATGACAAAGTGCTTTAATTAAGCACTTTGAAAAATAAAACATTAGGACAGATCATATGATATATATATATATTGAGACGTGTAGAATAGTTTAGACAAGTTTTGTCTAATTATTCTCAGATGGATCCTTTCATATTCACAGACAAGATTTTTGGTTTAATTAACTTATTTAAGAGAGAAAATTACCGTGTTGATACATATTGTTTTATTCCGAGTACTTTCGACATAGCACAATCTTATCGTCAGGGCGTCGTTTATTTCAAGGTAAATATTGTAGTGTTCAACTATTATTGTATATAAAAAAGCAAAAGCCAAAAAACAGACATTGTTCTGTATAAAGCCAAATAATGTTTCTAATTTTGTTGTTCGGTAGAGGTATAAAAAGCTTTATTTTCATTATAGTTTTATAAATAAAAACCGGTCTACCCATGAGTTGTT